GAGGTAATAAACCAAATTATTGGTTCTCTTTTACGTACCGTGGTAGGTAAGAACACTCAAAATTGGGTAGAATGTTTACCCTTTGTTGAATTTGTTTATAACCGATCCATTCATTCCACAACAGGTTATTCTCCCTTTGAATTGGTTTATGGATTTAATCCACTAATGCCTTTGGATCTTATTCCATTGCCATTAGAATAGACCACTAGCTTGGACGGTGAGCAAAAAGCAAAATTTGTTAAGGACCTCCAATACAAGGCAAAACAGAGAATGGAGAAAACTCATGAAGCTGTGGCAAATAAGGTAAACAAAGCCAGGTGCCACCTCACCTTTGACCCTGGCGATTGGGTCTGTGTTCACATGCGGAAAGAATGATTTCACAAAAAAAAAGTCAAAACTAGACTCACAAGGCGATGGACCATTCCAAGTACTAGAACGAATTAATGACAATGTATATCACCTTGATCTTCCAGGTGAGTATAATATGAGTGCTTCCTTTAATGTTGTTGATTTGTCTCCTTTTGATGTTTTAGATTCGTGGATGAATCCTTTTCAGAATAAGGGAAATGATACATGCACCACACACCCAAAGGATGAGCTTACATTAACTCCAGGCCCAATTACTAGAGGATGGGCTAAACTACTCAAGGATCAACTCCAGACTACATTCCAAGCCTACGTCAGTAAGGACCTTTAAGCCCTTATAGAATTAGAAGAGTTCAAGGAATGAAAACCATTTCTCATTTCTCCTTCATCAACATGGGTTTCAAAGACCCAAGTCATTTATGGGCCTAATTATGAAGCCCATGAGGATATGTCTGAAATTGAGTTTGAATCACCATGAGCTCGATATTTGTAAAGTTACTCAGTGTTGCTCCTATAAAACCTGGGCTAACTCATAGAATTAGTAATTTTTAGTTTGCTTTCTTTTATTTAGGATCAGGCCCAATAAGTCATTGAAATGTAACCTTTGATAGCTTATCATCATTTCCAAACAAGCCCATCACGCCAGGCCCCTGTCTACAAACCTTGATAACTTATCAAGACTCATTCCCCTTACTTATCATAAGCCATGCTGCCCATTCATCTTCTAGAAGGGAGATCTGGACCGTTCATCAAGTTCAAGAGCCCTTCAAAGCCATCTTTCATCTCCACCGTCAAATCAAAAGCTTCATCAATGGTCACCAATCAATTCCACCCATAAGCATGGATTTAGGATAATTTTTATTATTTTTGTTGTTGTTTTTATTATTATGTTATTGTCTATTCATGTTATAGCGAGGACTCTCCAATCCCTATATAAGGAGGCATTCCCCTCTCATTGTAATCATCAACTTTTTTTTCTATTTGATACAATACAACGAGAGATCGTTTTTTCAAGAGTTGATTGCCTTATGCCTTTGAAGCATCTTCTTCTTTAGTTCTTCTGAGCTCTTGAGAGAGATTTTCACACTCAAGTTTGCCTATTCATTGCGATTAGGAGGGCTGATTAGAGTCGTATTATTGAGTTTGCTTTTTCATTGCAACTAAGAGGGTTTGATAAGCCATATCCAACTATATCATCATCACGCCAACTCCATCATCAACATCATCCATCATTCACTCCACCTTCCACATCAAAATCTAAGGTTTGCGTTAACACACAAACCTACAGGGGTAAATTTTTAATTGCGTTTTTCTCACAATCCGACCATCCGATTTCAAATCCGTCTCCATCGTTTTTCTCATCTTTTCATCCTCTTTCAAACGAGCCATCATCCATCAAGATAAGATCACAAACACCTTGGGCGCCTATTACAAGGGAGATAAGAACATCTTTATTTTATTACATATTTTATTTGTCTTTAATTCTTTATAGTTTTTATTGCCCTTATTTTTATTGTCTTGATCTCACCTCTTTGTTTAGTTTCCAGCAACTAAAAGCCTCTCAAAACCCTAATCTTTACCGCCACCTTCAAGTACCCATTTCAAGCCATTTGCTTCTTCATCGAGTCTAGAACTTTCCTAGGTTTATTCCCTCGTCGAGAACAACATTCACATCACCCACTGTCGCTTCTCTATCAACATCATTCTTCCGAAGGACAACAACAAATTTTTGACAATTAAGAATGTCACTGAATGGCAGGTCATAATAGTTGGATAGTATTACTACAAGAAAACAAACCAGGTAGGTTAAGGGAAACATTTCAATCACTCTCTCTCTCTCTTGATAAAATGTGGCAATCCTACTGTCTTCGGTTCTATGAAGAAAAAAAGTTAAAGCACATATTCCACACTAGATCCTAGTGTTTCCAAAAGATATGATACAATCAAGGTAGAGCCGTAGAGTAGTAATAAGTCTTACGTCCAGAACTATAGGACAACAAAATCTAGGTGTATTTTCACTGGTTATTGAACTAGATAATAAGGAAAAGTATTTTTATGACAGCCTTGAGCACCAACAATTTCGGATTATGCCGGAAAGCTAAGTTCAGCACAATCACATTTAATAGAGATAATCCCGAGTTTTTATGTTAACGGAAATTTTTGGAAAATGCTTGGGTGCCAAGCTTTAGGAGCAAACCATCATTTTATCTGTACATGTATATTCTAATTTGTCTTTACAAATTTGAGTACGAAATTTACTCAACTTTTAGGCAGGCAGCCTAGTCCTAATAACTTGGTAATCCATTCCACACCCATCATCCAGCAAGCAATAAGCAACTATTAGAATGCAGATGTCTAAATCCCCCCATCACTGTAGCGGCCACAAGAAGTAGAGATCCCTTACCAGGAACACATCCATAATGGATTGAATCAGTTATGCGGGCACTATTGACCTGAGAACCACCAGGGCAAATGCAAAATTTAGTTCTGTAAAACCTCTTCTGGTACACTAAATGTCCGGTAGCCCTGCTTATTCTATCATTCCAAATGTCAAGTTCAGTATCGTTCTCCTACACACGAGCCAGTATAACTCTAATCTTCGAGTTCCTATGACCAGCCCAAAAACCATGCGTTGTCCTACCAAATAAGCTTCTAATGAGCATGAAGCTAGGTGCTGTTTTAGGAAACAACAATGCGTTGAAAAGGGGGTTATATTTTACCTATTTTCGACATCATTTCCACCAGCAGGAAGAGCAAATGGCTGTAAATCTTGAGGGAGAGCAACATCTTTATGGGGAATGAAACCAACATCATAGCTGGGAGAACATACAACACGAATGGCATTCTTTACGAGAAAGGGAACTCCTTCAGTTGCCCGAACACCGACATCATGACAAATAACAAAGAAATGATCGGCACCTAGAGTTCTATTCCAGTAAGGATATTTAGTTGTTAGACTATCAACATAATTCTGAACAATTGTTGTCATATTTTCATACGAAGTGCCCTGCATTAATTGTTGTAAGTTGTTACAGCCACCACATTATCTAATTTATTTAGTTCTAACAATGAACGAATGAATAAACAAACAAATTGTTTTCTTGGTTTACCTTGCCGCGCATTTTGTGACTGGAAATTGGGACATGTAATTCCTGCATAATTCTTAGAAATCCAGGACAAACTGACAAGCTTAACTCAATTAAAAACCTACATAGCATGAAATGAGAGATAGTACAATATAAAACTTCAATGATTCAAAAATCAGCTAGACTACCGAGCTTGAAGAATATCAAGGAACCATAGATATTAACACTTACTATAGTAAATGTCTCTGCATTTAAACTAAAACACCTATTGAAGAATTCAAATTAACCAAGAATTATGTCACGGAGTATAACTGAGCAATTATAATGAAATAGAATTATCAAAAATCAATTAGAAAATCAAGAGTAAAGGAAGGGAAATTATAGACAACACGATAATAAATAATAACATTCTCATACTTTATGCACATAAAAAATTATCATGTTCCCAATTTTTAAATTAATTCATATATAAATTTGACCTATAAACAAGAACAGACGCAGGATTTTATGTTAGGAAGGGCGAACTTAAACTTAAGGGCAGGGATAGACCGAGGGGAGCGAGGCGGGTGGGGGCAGTCGCCCCCTGAAAATTTAAAATTACCATATATTTTTAATTTTTTCTATGTATTGAAATTCTGTTTCACCCCCTAGAATTTTAGTTCGACTCCCCTGGAATTTTACTTCATCCCCCTAACATAAAATTCTAGGGGCGAAACAGATTTTAAATAGGAAATACATAAAAAATTAAAATATATAGTAATTTTAAATTTTTAAGATAAGCGACTGTCTCCACCTGCCCGGTCCAACCCTGCCTATAAATGACGATGATATGTTGAATAAACAAATAGCAAGACATATGATAATACAACAATTCATGCAAAAAAATATTCTTCTCATTTTTCTTTTCAAGTCATGAAGTATGATTACATTAAAGAAATTAGCCAAAAAAAAATTAAAAAAAGACTTTACTCATAATAAAAAATTAAGTCATCGAAATATAAATTTATCTATAGTTAAATGATTAAAATATAAATTTATTAGAAAAATCAACCTTCATTTAATATTTAATGGCACAATGCCTCAATTATTATATCTTATTAATAATAGAGTATTTAAAAAAATTGTAAGTAAATAACATGATACAAACATGTAAGATATATTAAAAAGTAATTAAAAAAAGTGAAATGGGGTAGAATATTAATATCGTTTGTGGTGTTAAAAGGAATTTATAATATATCTTTTCAAAAAATATATTTTATTTTTTTATTTCATTTTATTTTTATCAATTACAACTACTTAGCATAAGTGCATAACATATGTTTTTGAAGACTTAAATTTGAATGGTAGACTTACGTAGAGATTATAGACAGAAAAGCCCAATGGGCCTTTGAGTCCATTACAAAAAACTTTTGGCAAACCTTAAAAGTTCTTTAACGGTAGAAAGTTTCACCCAACGGTCGACAAAGGAATTAAAATTCGAAAATTTCCCTCTCCAAATCCATCAAAAAATCCGACGCATTGATTTTTTTCCTTCTTTTCTGTCAATCTTGCTCTTTACAGGTTTCACAAAAGGATAATCCAAGAAAATATCAAAAAAATTCTCGCAAACCAAACACTGCCAAAGCTTTGATTTCCCAATGGATAATTCCCACTTAAACGCCTTTCTCCAAAACCCGGAAACCTTTTCCCCCTATTCCTCTATTACCAGGGGTTTTGATTCAGGAAAATGCGATCTTGCCTTGAATCAAGATAACCCTAGCTCCGCCATGGATGAAGGTGAAGAAGAATCTTTTGCTGATTTGATGCTTTGTGACTCTAATTCAAGGCTGATCCCATCTGGGTTTTCCAAATCTAATTGCACGGGTGAGTAAAATTTCTTGATTTTTTTTCTTGTTAAGCTAATAACTATTTAATTAATAATAAATTTCTGTGAAAGAAGGAAATTAAAATTCATGTTCTTGATATGTTTTCCAAAAAGGAAGGCTTTTGGTGATTTAATTATACATGGATTTTTTTAAATCTTTTTAAGCATATGAAGCATTTAGGAAGTGTATGAAAAATAATACAAAAAGAAGAGAGAACAAAAGATCAATTATGTTCAACCTTTTTTGAGTTGATTTTATCATTTATAACTGGTTTCTTAATGGTGTATAATTCAACCGAGGAAGAAATATTTTTTCTGATTTCATATGGTTTGCAGATGAAATTGTGATGTTTATAAATGCTGGGGGAGAGGCTTTATACGAAGCAGATTCTAGCATGAAATTACTGGGGGATACTTACTTTGAAGGAGGAGATGTTATGCGGACCAATGAGCCTATAACTGAGGCTGGAGATTGTCCATTCATTTATTGGTCTGCAAGAATTGGGAGTTTCTCGTACCAGTTCAACAATCTTCCTCCTGGGGACTATATTGTTGATCTTCATTTTGCAGAGATCATAAACACAAATGGACCTAAAGGAATGAGGGTATTCAATGCCTATATGCAAGAAAGAGAAGGCAAGTTATATAGCAAAATTACTCAGTTTGCATTGTGATTTTTCACTGTCTAGAAATGTTAAAATTTTGCTGTCAATGTGACAGGTACTGTCAGATTTTGATATCTTCTCAGTTGTTGGAGCCAATAAACCATTGCAAGTTGTTGATTTGAGGGTATCAGTAAAGGAGGATGGCCTAATTGCATTAAGGTTCGAAGGCGTTAGTGGAAGTCCAATGGTCTGTGGGATTTGTGTAAGGAAAGCACAAAATACTCCAGGTGCAGTAATTTGTGTTTCAATTATTTGATTCGTTTCCAATTTTAACTTTGGATCATGTTAGAACAACCCCTTATTTTGAAACCTTGCTTCCAATCCAAGTACAGTTACTCAGGGATCACAAGAATACCTTAAGTGCAACAGTTGTGCTGCTGAAATAGAACTTTCCTCAGCTCAGGTTAGGGTTTATTTAGCTGTGATTAGATGTTTTCTGTAGCTCAACTTGTTGCTTATGTAGACTTTTACTTTGGCCTTGCAGATGAAACTTGTGCGAACAAAAGCTACAGATAAATATGAGAAGAAGATACAAGAGCTCACTACACAGTGTCAACTCAAGACTCATGAATGCCATGAGGCTTGGATGTCGTTGACGGCAGCAAATGAGCAGCTGGAGAAAGTTAGGATGCAACTTGACAACAAGATCTTCCAAACACGCACGCTAGGTAACTATCATGTATATTTTCGAAGTTTGAATGAGTACATTCTTTAAATTGAGCAGATGAAGAACTGTTAAGCTACTAACTAAAGAAAGAACTCTTTTACAGTGATTCTGATAGAATATGCTTTTCTCAGGTTTTAATGATGACAGCAAATGCATTTCTTCCATAAGTAGTTTTACAAAATTTAATTCTTGCTAAATTGTTGTTTGTTCCTTGTGTTCTTGAATGTTTGAAGCATTCGAGTGGGTTTGTGGGTAATAGTCTGAATTCTGATTTGATCACAAATGCTGATGGAAAGGCCCGTGCAATGGTGGTTCGTCTAGATTGTGTTTGGTGCTTAAATTATACATGTAGAGGGGTAGCATTACTTGCTCCTTTTAAACTCAACAAATATTCTCTTGTCAGATGAAACTGTGGGGAAACAAGCCGAAAATCTGAAAAATATTACTAGCAGTTATGACCTTCATAAGAAACATTGGGAAGCAGCAATCAATAATTTACAAGAGAAAATAAAGGTAAAAAAAGTTGTCTTTTCAATATTGTCTTACTTTGTGATGATTTCACTTCCTTTTCTTGTTGTGAGATTATTTATTTTAATGCATTTTCTTATTGATCATTCTGCAGATAATGAAAAGAGAACATGCTCAGCTCTCTCATGAGGCACATGCATGCGTAGAGTCAATACCCGAATTGAACAAAATGGTCACTGGGGTTCAGGCACTGGGTAGGGTCTAATTCAACTGGTTAGTTTGAGTTTGAGTTTACATTTTTACATCCACATGGGCTCACAGAATGAGTTTGCAGTTCTACAGTGTGAGGATCTCAAAGTAAAGTATAGTGAGGAGCAAGCAAAGCGAAAGGATCTCTATAATCAGATTCAGGACACTAAAGGCAAGGTTTTTCTCCCTTCTTAAGTAGTTTATTAATGCAGCTTTTACAATTTATCATCAAAGAATACAGGGGAAAACACTTGTTACACTATCTATTTAATTTCAGGTAATATAAGAGTCTTCTGCCGCTGCCGTCCTCTTAGTAAACAGGAGATATCAGCTGGTTTCGGTCAGGTTGTAGATTTCGATGCAGCAAAAGATGGAGACCTTGGCATTCTGACAGGTGCCTCTACCAAAAAGACTTTCAAGTTTGACCGAGTTTACACACCGAAAGACAATCAAGGTAACGGTTTCCTGTCATGCTATGCACTAACCCCAATATCGACATGTGAAATACTGTAAGATGCTGATTTAGCTAGTGTTTGTTTTGGCATAACAGTCGATGTTTTTGCGGATGCATTACCACTGGTGACATCAGTGTTAGATGGCTACAATGTCTGTATTTTTGCTTATGGGCAAACGGGAACGGGAAAGACATTTACAATGGAAGGCACTGAACAGAACAGGGGAGTCAATTATAGAACTCTTAAGCAGTTGTTTCAAATTGCTAAGGAAAGGATCGACAGTTTTATATACAACATATCTGTTAGTGTTCTTGAAGTTTATAATGAACAAATTAGAGATTTGTTATCTACATCACCGACATCAAAGAGGTGAGACGGCTATACTCCCTATTTCATTCTTAATTCACTTTTGACATACCGTATTCAAATGCTAAACGGTGATTCATTGGTTTGGTTGATAGGTTGGAGATAAAGCAATCTGCTGAAGGGTTTCATCATGTTCCAGGTATTGTACAAGCCCAAGTTGAAAACATTAAGGAAGTTTGGGATGTATTGCAAATTGGAAGCAATTCTAGAGCTGTTGGATCAAACAATGTGAATGAGCATAGCAGCCGATCCCACTGGTATCAGGACCCCTGTTTTTCTTTTTCAGTGCTTTAAATTGAAAGAAGATCTTTCAAGTTTTTTGTCTTTTCTATCTCATTAATAACAACGAAGAGAATTTTCTTTTACTTTTTGTGCAGCATGCTTTGTGTAATGGTAAAATCAAAAAACTTGATGACTGGAGAGTGCACAAAGAGCAAGCTTTGGCTTGTCGATTTGGCAGGCAGTGAGAGGCTTGCAAAAACTGACGCACAAGGTGAACGACTCAAGGAGGCTCAAAATATCAACAAATCCCTTTCAGCTCTTGGGGACGTCATATATGCTCTAGCAACAAAAAGTAGCCACATTCCATACAGGTCCATTGATTGTCTACCTTAACTACATAGCCCGTTTCCCTTTCATTCTTTTGTATGACATCTTTCATTCTGTTTCAGGAATTCGAAGTTGACACATTTACTTCAAGATTCTTTAGGTAAATCTGGGGGATTCATACTCTAGCTGTTTATTCGATTTCTTAATGGCAATAGATTTTGGATATATCTATTTATTGATACTAACAGTAGCTATTATTTATCAGGAGGTGACTCTAAGACACTGATGTTTGTACAAATTAGTCCTTCAGAGACGGACTTAAACGAAACCTTGAGCTCCTTGAATTTCGCAACTCGAGTTCGAGGAGTTGAGTTGGGTCCTGCTAAGAGGCAAGTCGATACAAGTGAGCTCCAGAAGATGAAAACAATGGTACTTCTTGATAAGTTTTTGCTTCCATCACTACTACTTATATTATAAGATCAATCAACTAACTTGACTGCAACTACTTTTAAATTCTTACAAAGCTTGAAAGAGCAAGGCAGGAATCAAGATCGAAAGACGAATCGTTAAGAAAATTAGAAGAGAGCTTACAGAACCTAGAGAATAAGGCCAAAGGTAGAGACCAGGTTTACAAAACACTGCAAGAGAAGATCAAAGAACTTGAAGGTCAATTGGAACTGAAAACTAGCATGCACAACCAGTCAGAGAAGCAGCTCTCACAACTTTCAGATAGATTGAAAGGGAAAGAAGAGGTTTACACCGCTTTGCAACAAAAGGTTGCCATCATTTTAAACTATTATATAATTCACACATGCCAATTGTTGTTGTCAATACTAACTATAATCTATTATCTGGTAAAGGCTAAAGAATTGGAGGCCAAGCTTAAAGATCGGCAACAGTCAGATTCGACTAGTTACCAGCAAAAGGTTACAATAAATGGAATCTTCTTTTTTTATTTGTTCTTTTCTTCTTCTTGCTTCTTGCTTTTGACATGAAGTAATTTGATTCAAAACAGGTTAAAGATCTCGAAAACAAGATGAAAGAGCGAGTACAAGAATCCGAGTCCCATTCACTTGCCCTTGTACTCAAGGTTGCTAATATTTTAGTAATGTTGGTTTATATATATATAGGAAAACAGAAAGCTTAACATTTTATGTCTCTTTTCCAGATTAAGGAGCTTGAGAGAAAGCTGAAAGAGCAAGAAGAAAACAAAGAATCCATTTTGCGTCATCAAAAGGTCATCTACATATATGTAGCATACCTCTATTTTCACTCACTATTTGTCTGGCATATATTAATTCTCTTATTATCTGAAACCATACTCTAACGGACGATTTCCAAATGGTGACAGTACATTTACTTTTCTCATAAGAAATTTACTGGACAATTGCCTTTGCATGTGATATCTTAAATTTGATAGTTTTGTAGCAGATTAAGGAGCTGGAAGCTAGACTGAAGGAGCAAGAACAACAGTTGCAAGGTGCACTAGCTCGCGACTTTTCCAATGCGATAATGGCCAGTCCTAGTGTAGGAAAATGCAGAAGAGAGGATGAGTCGATGAATGAAGCTGAACCTCATATCCTGAGGAGTTCAAACTCAACAAGTAGCCGTCCATTGAGCCGTGGGTCCAAACATCCAAGAGTTAGTGATTTAATCCATGAGACAAGAAGGAAAAGGTACTCTAGAAGTGGTGAAACAGAGAACAACAATATGGTTATACCTGCTTCTTTGGCAGATAAAAGGGCAAGAAAAATCTGATCCGCCTAAGGTTGCAAGGGTTGTGAAAACAGCAAAACCAGGTAGCATAGCTGCTGCTCAGGGACGTGGAACCTTGGGTCACAAAAAGGTCATGAATAGAGCTCAGGTCCAAGCAGCAATGGAGATAGATACTAAGAAAAAGATTTGGTCTAGATAAGTCAAGCCAGGAAAAAAGGATTTATATGTAACTTCTACAATAGCATACACTTCATTAATCTTTAAATGTTATTTCTAGTTTGTTTCAGATCTTTAAAGATGTTGTATATCTTTACCAATATCCATACTCGAACAAACAACGAATGATTAATTGAATATTAGTTTCAGTTTATTTTCTTAAAATGGATTAATAAATATAATAAATTAATTATTTGTTATTATCAAATAAGAAATCTATATTTTTTAAGGAAATATAACAAACTCGTTTTAAATAATGACAAAATATAACCAACACTTCTTAAATAATAACAAATAAAATCCATATGTTTATAATTCATTTTTATACCAAATATTTATTAATTTTATTTATTATTGTTTTCTAATCAAATAGAGAAATATAAAAATTAATTACATATTACTACTTAAATTAAGAATTTATATTTCTTAAGTTAAATTCAAATCTAAATAATTTTTAAAACAATATCATTACAGAGAGTGATAAATCATAAGCATTTTTATTCTTTTTTTAATTTATTATCCTATAGATTCGATTAATGTTAACAATAGGTCAAAAATCACATTTAATCCTATAAGTCATAAGCGACCTCAAGCAAAATATTATGACTATCAAAATTGAATAAAAAGTTTGTGATATGAAATAACTTTAACACATTTCATGACATAATACTTTTGTCTCACAATATCTTGCTAGAATATAAGACATGAAAATATCACTCTTATATAAGTCATAAATTGGTCTCTAACAATTTATTTGAACATGACCCTACTTTTTTCAATCTCTCGTTGAGTGCCCAAAGATATCTCTTGTAATAAGAGAGATAAAACTCATTTTAATCACTCACATCTTATTGTATGATTCTTATTATGTTTAAGTGCAATCTTTATAATTGTTTGATTAAAGATAATGTTTAACTACGTCAAAACACAATATTACTTATGTTGAGAACTATAACAATTTTAAGTCCAAGGATTTAATGACACAATTCTTGGATACTACCTTATGAATTTAATCATGTATCAATATCAAAATAAGTAGTTCCAATATTTATTCTGAATAAATACATATATATTTGATTTGTATCTCTTACTCTTATTCTTTTATGAATATCAGTCAAGTTTTACGATAATCTTAATTTATTATTTTTTCGCAACAGTAAGTGGATAAAGAGATTTAAAAAATCAATAATATAATTCAAAGATATTATTATTTAATAAACACGTAAATTACGCTGATTTTTTTACAATAATGCAGTTAGAAAATTTTTTTTGCTTAAATAGGGCACTCTCAAAATTATTTCTTCAAATAAAGTGATTTGTACAGTACACCCCAAAGACGCATTGCAGTCCATTTGACTTTAATATAAATTTGGGTTTTCATATTCCAACTTTTATTTAAATTTTAATCATTATATAAAAAATGGGGAAGGCTAAAATTGGGGGAGGGGGAGATACGCATTGTGGTCCGGGGGAGGAGGGAGTCGCATGGTGTTTCATGCGATCGCATGGTGTTTCATGCGACCTTGGGGAAACGTGGAAAGTCCAGTGTGACTTCGATGTGTACTGCAACATTCACCACATTTGAATAAATAGTCTCTTGGGTACCCTATTCAAATAATTTTTTTAGACTGAGTTATTGTAAAAAATCACCCCGTAAATTATGGTAATAATATATCTATATATATTAATCAAAATGATAAGCTCATAAAATAGGTCTAGAAAATTATCAGTACCATGTAAAACTCAAATCTAGAACACTAAAAACCTAAGGTGCTCAATCTTGCTATTGAGTTTATAAAAAGGAAAACCAATCAAAGCACAATATGATTAGTTAAAAAGCTTAAAAAGGAAGTAAAGAAATGGACAAAAAAGAAAACTATAAATGAAATGATGAGAGGGGGTTGATGAAAGGTGTGGGATATGAGGGATGTCGGATTTTGAATCCCAACGCTAACAGCCCAGTGACTGGCAAAATGCCAAAACACAGTGACGAGACCAAAATATTTATCTCGTTTCAGTGGGGGCCAAGTTAACGCAGCATCTCCCATCTCATCTGCCCCCACCCCTTTGTTGCCACTCGCAACACAACAAAAACAACTCTACATGCAATGAATTAACGATGCTGACATATGTATGTCACTATCATACTTCCAACACATACAATTCCGGATTCTTTCTCAAGGTGACATGTATCTTAAGTTCGACGGAACAGAAAGTCTGATCGGTTCGATCTTCCGGTCCAGATCATATATGATTCATGAGCTTCTTGCATGTTTCGGTTAGCTGTAAAAACGACAGTTAGAAGACAATAAGGACATAACATCACACTTCACCAACTAGACCCTATGATCACGTTAATCACGCTCCTTCATGTTCTTCATCGGTTTTCTTCTTTACCCAGCCAGTTCTTTTGCCGTCTACATGCCATAAGTTGGTTATTTAATGTGTTTATTTAATAGAGAAATCAAAACCAGAAGAGAATAAAACAAATGGGTAAATGATTGAGGAAATATATATGTACCGGTAGGGGAAAGCAGAAACATTGTGTTAAAAGGCAAAAACGAGTAGGTTTTGGTGGCTTTAGGGAGCAAATCATGGGCTTGTTTAGGTTAAACATAAGTCTATAAAGTTTTGCACATGTTAAAAAAGCGAAGAGGGTCGACAGCTATAATTACACATATATTTTACAGCTTTCTGCGGTGCTGTAGCACAAAAGATGACAAAGGGTACACAAAATGGTGGCCTTTTCTTCTGATTAAGCAGTAAAATTTAAGCAAATATAATAAGTCAGCCGTAGTTAATTTGATAAACAGAAATATGGGTTGGATAATTCAACATTATTTAAAAAAACATATTATATTGTGTAAAGTTAGTTAACTATGCATTTATATTTTAATATATAAATTATTTTTTTAATATATGATTCATTTTTAATATATATATATATAGATATATTGAGCTTTAGTGCAAAATTATGTTCTTACTAGGTTTCTAGTTCAAATATATTAATAATTATTTTATATTATATAAAGATAAAATAAATATGCACGAACCAATTTACCTCAGTAGTTAAATGAATCGTTAATGTTTCTAGAGGTTACATGTTCAAGCACCAATGGCTGCTGTAGGGTGATTGAGCATTCATTGTCAAATGATCGAGAATATTTAGAACATATACTCTTTTGTAATAACCTTAGTTTAATAAAAAAAAGATAATTTAAGTATAAAATATTTTAAAATGAAGAACTCTAAATTATAATTTTAAAAAATTGATTTAGATCAAAGTGGTTCAATATTTCAATCAAAATGTAAAAAAATGTTTAAATTATTATTGCTTTTATTCAAAATGTATTCATAACTTCTAGTATTAATAAAATAAAATAATATTATGTTATGTTATAATAAATTAATTAACAAATAAACATTTTATATTTCCTTATCATTGATTGTAATATCTTCCACTAGAATATTCATTTTTCCTTATTGATTTTCTTTAATATTATTTTTTTAAAAATAATAAATTAATTAGTGTTATTTATAATGATAAATTTCAATTTTAATCTATATATAATGTTAATAATTTAAGTGAGAATTAATCTAAAAATTAAATTATAATATGATATTATCCCTATCATACTTTTTAAAAAAATAAGTATTATAACTATTAAATAATTTAAAGTTTTATTCACATAAAATAAGTATATTTATTATATTAATATTTTAAATAATTTTTTTGTATAACCACCGGTATCTTATCTATTGATCGATTAATCTGGATCGGGTATAGAAAAGGCAAAGGCGACCCTTCAATTCAGTTTACTTCATTCACAACTTCCAATATTCGTACATCTGACATTGCTTAATGGATCTTATAATAATTAATGTAAAGTTATCATATTAATCATGAATATCCATATTTTTAGTGAACTTACGGATAAGTTAAAAGTGGTTAATAAAAAAAGGGGAAAGGCAATTTAAGGGGAAAAAGCAAACAGAATCATAATGTAATTATACTGCCGATGCGTAGCAAGTAGCAAGGAGAAGAGCAGCTCACTCCCGGAGAAAAGAAAGGAGAAAGAAAGGCTAAACGAAGCGTTTCACACAAAAGAAAGAAACCCTAATAAGCTTTACTTGTCTTGGCCTTGCCCCTCTCTCAATTCAAATTGTTTCGACAATCTTTTTCATTCAACAACACTTTTTCGGACACCACCAAATCTGCGACTAATTATTGCCCTTAAGCCATCGACACTGATCAAGAAGAAAACTCTTAACACTGCAAATGGAGTCTAGGTCGCCAACAGCTACTCCCTACGGCCGTGGTGTATGTTTCATATATACATTCGATGACAATCTTCAGTAGCCTCAGCTCAGAGCCTCATTTCCCTGATAGGCAGAGATCGAAACACAGTGAGTCACTGACTCAACATAAAACAAATCAAACATCTGCCACTATCTATCTTTCCACTTTTAATAAATACTCCTGTGTTCTTATCACAGATCCCAAAGTTCTCAATACAAACAGTTCCCAATCGACCATAAGAGAAAAAACAAATATGTCGAGATATTTGTGTTTATATATATATATATATATATATATATATAAAGAACAAATCTATATGTATACATATAGTCATAGTAGAGCCAACTATAGCTTTCACTTTCATCTAAATTTCTGCTTCTGGCTTCTGCATATAATCTTTTGTAGAAACATGCAAAACCAAACTGCAGATTCATCAAAAGCTACACCTTAAAACACAATAAAAAGACTTCTAAATAGTAAAGTGATCAATAGTGCCAAACATTTTATTAAAATAAATAATAAAAAGAAAAAAAAATTAAACATTAGTTTTTCTCAACGTTTACATGTTGCTTTTTATGTTAACGAAACATTTTAAACAGACAATAAACTAAAAATGGGTGTTTTTAGAAATGTTACTACCGTGTACCTCTTCTTTCCTTTTTTTCATATATTCCCTTTAAGGTGGTGTACCTT